TATGTTTACTTTGAAATGTTCAAAATGCTGCAAATAGTATTTGCTAAGCATTGGATGCGTATATCGAAGATGAATTCCATGTTGTTCGTCGTTTTCTCTGAAGAAATTATAGTGGTGATTTTTTACTTAATGTGAAAAATGTGTTACGCTACGGTTTTTTTGTTTTAATTAACTAAATCGAACAAAGTCATAGATTTGAAATTCAGTGGTTGAACCATCGGACCATTTCATCGATTGACTCGTATCTATACCGCAACATTTCTTATCCGCAGTGAATTCATTATTTTAGGAATGAGCAGACTTTAAAGCTTTAATTAGTATGTCTGTATTAACAATTTAGGTATTTAACAAAACAGTTACTGAGACCACAGGATTTTTTACATCAGTCAAAGTATTATCCTGATTTCCATTTGTTCCAACCTTCTTAATGTTTTAATGCAGCCATAATATGCGGTGCATGTGATAAACCCACCTAAATAAAAATCCAACGCATATAAGTCGGGGTATCCACATGGCATCTCCACGAAATCGTATTCAATGATGATTTGCTAAAATAATTCTCTAATTTCAAAGATTTATTGGAGTTGGCACAAAAGAGGGACATTGTGGTCCAAAGCGTGCCTTCTGAAAGTTCTTCAGTGATGTATAGTTTGTCCCAAGCTTTTTGGCAGTGACGCAATAATCGTCGTTCTTTTTCTATTACTTGTCCACCGAGCGAGACGGAAATTTAATCTTATTAATGGTACTTATTGTATTTGTATATTATTGATTTGATTTGTTGGCGAGTTTTGGTAGGTTTTGTGATTTTTTCTAAGTTGTCATTTCAATTTCCTGATACATTTTCTATTTGTGTGAGTGATATTTTCGCGTAAACAGCGGGTCGTTTTGCTCACATTGTCACCTCCATCGTTTAGATTTTGTTTAGGTCCTTCATTTTTTCTTCAATTTTCTTCCTAATTTAACTGCAAGTTTACCACGACGACGACGTTCGACGAAAAGAACACACTTTAATGCTCACAGCTATCTTCTTTAACTTTTTGGTATTTAGTGCTTCCAAACTTGGTATTAAAATTGAGCTGACACAGACGACTTGGGGTCGATTTTCGAAGCGCTTCTTGACCTTTAGCGTTATTAGACGCCTCACAGCGAACGGTGGTACGAAGAGTAAAGTGAACATGACCCAAGATGGGAGTAGCTGGGGTTCGCAAGTACGAATGTTCACGTTTGAATAGACGATGCGTTGATGACAAAAGTGGAGAAATATAGTGACTGTTTTGCATACGTGATAGGTCATCGGACAGAGGCTGAAGAGTAAAGCTAATCTCGCAAGATGGCCGTCGACCATCGAAGAAGACGGCGTCTGGGGTAACCGGTTATATGCATTTGCCTTGCAACAAGATTATAATATCGCAACGCAGAGAGAGATGAACCGCTCGATAGTGTCCCCTTTTAGCAATTTAAATGTGGTTGCGAATGCAAAACGATGCGATGGCCATCCGGTCTGGGACGATCCGCGATCGGACCGCATTCTGCCGTTTCTGCTGCCGCGCAATTTCCATATTTTTACATGTCGGCGTTTAATACGAGGAATTTGAGACGGGACCCGCGGGACAATCCACCAACTGTAACACGAGCACTGCATTGTGCCGATGTCGCTAGTTGTGTTATTGATCTCTCAGCCTTTCTCCTTCCCACCTAATTAGGAAAAGGCTGCATTTACCATCCCAGAATCCGCGCTCTCCACCGGGCCGCATACAACGGAGCAGGGCGCCTCCACCTAATGGCTCCCAACGAAACACCATTAAAGTATGAGACTCGAATTTGAATCGCCTCCCCCCTCTAAAAACTGCTCATTAAAACTCTGAATTTCACGATGTAATCTTGTTTCATCCCCTAATCACCTTAGCGCAGCGCGAAGCTTTTTAAAGACATTCATGGATGATGGTCAGCTGAATGAAAGTCAAACGGAAGATTTCACGTGTTACACATGAGCTAATAAATATCATACTCTATCCGTTTACTGTTCGAAACCCAGTTGCACTAGTTGATACTCGGTTACCACATGAGGCATGCTCAAGATAAACTCCAGCGCAGGGATGAGTTGCGATTTATTACTATTTATTAACAGGCTAGTTCAAGGGCGTGTCCATAAACAAGCCCACAAAAGTTGCTGATTTTGAATCTCATATTTATGAATTTGGAAACAATAATACGTTACAAGTCGATGACTCATCAGCTTACATAATTTTTCAATAAGCAATGAGAAACCAAAACCTCTTTACTTGAATATACATGCATAGACACATGAGACAGTTTCAGAGATGACTTCGATATTCCTACTCTTCCCAATTCAATCAATTTGAATTCTTAGCGCTTCATTCTAACTAATTCTTTTATGATGATGCTACAATAACCATATCCTCAATGTACTTTCAAAAATCAATAAAAACGGGTTACCAATATGATTTGCAGGTTTATACAGTTAGACATGCTTATTTACATTGTCATCGCTGGCTTTTGTGCTTGAAGCTATCAAAGCCGTGTCGTTTAATTTACATAATAATGATGAGCAAACAACGTATCAATCAAATGTCGAACCAACATGAAAAATTCCCCGAAAATTTATCAAGCCTTCAAAAATCCAGTCAAAAAAAAAGTCAAAAATCTGCCATCAAAAACAAAAAGGTCTCTCAATGAAAATTGACCAAATCATATACATATATATATAAACAATCTTTATTTCCTATAGAAAAAGGCTATCGACCCATTCGGTCTTTCTGCCCCAAATCAGATATTTGGCAAACTTTCCTGTATTTAGCCATTTCCGAAATGAACTATTGAAAGTCCTAAAACCCTGTGTGTAGGTGTAATGGAAGAAACAGATTGTTGCTTTTGCTCAGCAGCATGACGGAATGCGCTTTGTGGCACATTTTTAATTTTGAAAATCGCAAACGGTCCGTTCATTTTTATTACTTTATTTGGTTTGTTAATGATCATGACAAACGGATCGATACCAATGAATGTTAAAATTCAGAAAAATACAGTAGCTTTTATAAGAAAATATTGATTGATGCCTTGGTCTTTGGCATGTAAAGATATATTTTCAAACCGCTGCGTGCCGATTTTCATTAGCGAACATATTGTCCATTAATGTGAATTTGAATAATATTGATAAGAACCAGGACAATACTGCAACCCCATGTGAACTATGTAGGAACAATTTAATCTGTGTTAAACAAATATTGTAAAAGTAGGTACTTACACAGATGAGCATAAACAGTTTGTTGGATGTTCTTCCCACATCAACATTATTTCCCGTTGGTTCGTTAAAACGCCAATCATTGTACGCAAAATTGTTGGGAAAATTTCATCAAGATACAAATTTTCTCATGGACCTGAAGTGCACTGCCGAAGGCTCATTTGTAACGTTAAAGCAGCAGCTAGTTCCGATAGGAATTGGATAATCTCGAGCAACTACGATCCTAATTTGAAGAGTTTTTGTTTAAATGCAGATTTTAAAGTTATGTTTTGTTTTCGTACTCGTATCTAATCTACCAGTTCCTCTTTTTTCTTTGTTTCAAAAGGGTTTCGCATAAGGCAGCGGATCCCTAGTCTATCCCAATAAAGCCGCGAGCTGTGATGAAATTCAGCATTTTTCCACATTTCGCCTTAAAGGTTTTTACTTCACATTCTTTTAGCATCTGTTCAAAAATGGTTCTTACTATTTTCGTTTCCACTGTTCGATATATATTCATTATTATCCTGTTCATCATTGGTGTTTGGTTTAGTGATTTTRAATTTTTCGTCTTAGATCTACTACAGTGCMCGTTAAATGTGCTCCCTATTTGTTTGACGTGCTTAACGATTTTCTYATCACTTWAAATTATATCATGTAAGATCTTTAGATGTTGTTATGCTTATGGTTTTACTGTTTTTCACTGTTATGTTTTGGCGGTTGACTCTAGTCGGAAATCTWCCGCTGGTCCATTATATTCTTGATAAGTGACCATCAGTTCTTGAATTTTTCATTTAGTGTTTTATCCGTCCCCGRAACTTTAAGATTTTTAATGAATTTTATTTTTCTKCWAATTTTGTGCTTCTATATTTTCGAAATGTGTTTTTCATTTGCATTTCGCAATTTTGTTAGTTTATCTAATATATTTCATCTTTAACTTGTTTATTCCGCTTTCCGCATATTTTATGCTGGATACCGTACTTGCCTCTGTCCAAACATGGCTTCAATCCTTCCTGGTAGACTTACTTTAAATCGAATTTCGCCGTTGCGTAAAATACCCAATTTTCCTAATTTCTTTGGTTCCTGGTTCCGATAAGTATTTTAATAAACCTTGCACTTGTAAATGTTGGTATTCACACAAGCCTCAATAAGTGCTGGTTTTCCACAGTTTTTATCCAGAAACTTTCGAGATATAAGTCCACCTTTGGATATGTCACAAGCAAGCACTCCTCGTGCCAGTTTCGGACCTACGCGTCTTCATCGGCTATATGACATATAAACTTCAGGTCATGCCGTCTGTGACTTCCTACCAAAAGTGTTTACATCCCGCTTTAAAGTACAGGCTTTTGCGATGTATTATTTGCAGTAGCCCAACTCCTGAGGGCTTAAAAGCCCAAAACAAGTCGTTATGATGCTAGTGTCTGATATTGCGAGCAAAAAACATGTACTTGTATCCTTCATTTACGACTGATTAATTAATCAGCCAAGAAGCAAGTTTCAAGGATATTTCCAGTTCCAATGACAATTTTACTCATTTGGCTCCATATTCTTTAAATAAAAACACAATAGCTGTTTTTGTCTGTAATGGACAAAATCACGGCTTTTCGAAACCGCTTCAGGCTCATTGTCGAAGAAAGCTTTACTGTTTGTGAGAATTAATTTCTTCAATAAAAGCAGAGTTTGCTCGTTTAGATAATGATAGCACCTTTTTTGGTCTATGTTAAATACACATTATTCCTAATAGTAATATTTTTTTTCTTTTCAGGTTCACGAACTATGTGACAATTTCTGTCACAGGTATATTAGTTGCTTAAAAGGTAAAATGCCCATTGATCTTGTGATAGACGAAAGGGACGGAGGTAAACCTCCTGAACTCACCGGTTCAACAAACGGAGACGGAGGTGCCAGGAGTAATGCGGACTCTACTTCACATACGGATGGAGCGAGCACGCCTGATGTCGTAAGTACATTTTTCAATTTGTAAATGGTCCCATTTTTCAACGACTTTCCTTTGCCACCCAATCCACTCCATTGTTGATCAGGGCCCAAAACCAACGGCGCTCATTTGAATAAGATCAAGTCGAAGTCACTCCAATGCCGAAATTGACTATTGAATTACGAAGCATAAGCACTAAAAGTTGAATCGCATGATTTCGAGATATAACTCCCCATAGGAATAAGAAATGGGTGGCGCGTTCGCTTGATCGGCGCTGCTCTTCGGCGAGGGGGGCTCCGCCACTGAGTGTATTAGCTCATTTTCGTGATGCTGTTTGCAAAAAGCTAGGGGAGCTTAAAGCAGGGAGTTTTACTGGTAATTGGTGTCAATTTAGACTGACGCATCGGCAACGGGAATGAGGGATTGAGTTACACCCTTGCGTATCTTGTGGCCACCCGCTCGGTTCCTTTCAAATTGTCGGATGAATAAACAACGGTATACCATACCTTTCATTATTATTAACGTCAGATAATTTATTCAGGTACAGTAAGATGTAAAGTATCATAGTAAATGAGTTCATTTTCTGAATAGGTGAATAGGTTCGTCTCTGTCATTGGAGCGCTGACTTTCTGGAATTCGTACTGATCCATTTTCTGCATCATCATCTCTTACCTACTTTGAATTATATCGGTTAATCAGCCAGATTTGCTCTGTTCAATAGCTCCACTAGATTACTCAGGGGCACCAAATTTTCCTCACATAGCTTTGATGAAAATATTGCGACACCTTGACTTTCTCACTAATTTCCAAAATGCGGCTAGTACAAGCACCTGATCTTGCACCCCAACATTGTTCATTGTTTGCATCTTTTTTTCAAGTTTGGACCGTCCGTATTACAAATCCCACAAAGCAGCTGTTAAGAGTATCCAGTGAACGATCACCAGTTTAACTAGTGAAATAAAAACGCATTGGAGAACGCAAGTAATTCGGTTTTCTTTATTTGTCAAATTTAATTCATACTACCTCAAACCGATACAAGGAACTAAATCGCAGCTTACCAACGTAATTTCGCAAATCCTGCTAATGAATTTGGCGTCAAAATCCTTTTAAAAGTACCTTAGTCCGTGTTGGACTGGTTCCATTGCTCGCTCTTCTTCGGCCGGTTTGACTTGTAAAGCCCCTGGGTTTCGATGAATTAATTTGGATGAGTAAACAGATCGGTTTTTATTCCGCTTGTATACTTGTGTATTCAAAGATCAGTGTCTGCTTGTTTATTCGATTTGATATCAACTCGGTTTTTGATGTTCTGAAACAAGGTACGCACAGCAGGAAGCAGAATCTCCCATGTGAAGCATCCGGCGTTATTGAGATCTGGGATTGGCTTATACATGAGCAATTGTTGATGGAGAATGCCAAAGATGTGGAAAACAGAAAAAATACAAAACCTTATCGGGTTGTTTTTTGAAGTGACGTGTAGTGAGGAGTTATCAGAAGAGGCCAGATTGAAGCTGCATTTTAATTTGGTTTTAACAGTCGGTCGATGTTTTTGTAAGAAAGTGGGGACATAACGAAATTGAGGAAGACAGTAGCCGAATGATATTTTTAGTAAAATCCAATTATTTTATGCTTGTTAGTTGATTTTCCACATACCGCCCTGGTGAAACCAAAATAGCGGACGTGAGGTATGCAGCGAGTGACTAAATGCCAGGTTGTGCTTTAGAAGGCGCACAAAATGAGAATACTTCATAGCACGGATGGCACCGTACTGCCAATAGCATTTCACGTACGCATTTGTCGTCTGAATGGTATAATTAACGCGGTATTTATAGCGCAAGGGCAACGATCATCTGTCTTATGTCTAGAAAAAGATGCGTTGTCGAAATCTGTTCGCAGACATATTACATCAAGACATATCGCCACTTTTAAATATTGAAAAAGTATTTCTTAAGAACTGTTCTGTTCTTGAGACTAACTCAACTGATTAAAGTGATGTGCCATTCACATATTTTTCAAAATATGTACGCCAAGATATTTTGAAGGTTTCGTGCTGCCGCTGAACATCTAGTTGAAAATTAGATCTTCTTAACTAGGGCGAGATTTCCTAAACTATAATCATCAGCTGTTATCTATCCATTTCAGGATGTATGTGTGTTTCAAGTATTTCCAATCGTTTCAGTTTGGTGCTCTCTTCATCCAGTTTTTATGTGTAAATCTTGTTACTGAATCGGCGCTACAAAATAAAATTTGATTGAAAGAGCTGCGAAAACTATTTATTTCGGTGAATCTGAGGGATCTGCAATTTAAGGCAAAATGTTGTCAGCTCGGAGAACTTCAGCATTTGTGTCATGCAAAAACAATAATTAAAGACATGTTTAAACTGTCTTTTTGCAATCGTACAAGGTGATTTTTGACTGTGAATGAATTCTTGCCATCTATGGGCGATACATTTCGAAACAGTTATGTTTATGAACAATAAGCAAGTGCATATTTCGAAAGGCGCTAACCTCAGGCACCCCCAGGACCGGTTTCGAGCCTATTAGCTATCATCAGCTGGGTTCAGCCTGAAATTAGCGATTCCGAAACCTGCACTTTATAATGTCAATGTATTCACATCGGCGTGGAAACTTTCCCTAAATCGTATCGGTTGAATCGATCAAAAAAAATAGTTGTCTAGTTTTGCTTCATATTGCTCCTAACCTCAACGTAGCTCAATATCAATTTCGATGTAACGGGCTTACAGTGCGATTCACCGATTCATTTGGAAACTTTTTTGCCTCTAGCTATTTTTTCACATTTTATTTTGTTTCTCAGATATTTAATGAAATGCGGTACAATGGAGTCAGGCGAATTTTATTAAAGGTTACAACAAGCGATGGAAACTTACTTATTTGTGTCAACTGACGTTTGTGTAGACTATTGGCCGCCACGCTCGCCCGATCTGAATCCTTTGGATTACTTTGTTTGTGGAGCCTTCTTCATCAAACGTCAGTAAAAACCCCTGAGGAATCGATTCATCATTGATTTTTATATCACGTAGGAAATTTTTTCTAACCTGTGCACAAAACTTTTTCAACAAGATACTAAAAAAAAGTAAAAAGAAAAATAAATTAATTGATTCCGGATGAGGCAATATACTCAAATAGTGATCTTCGCTTGAATGAAAAATATCAATCATTCTGAACAGTCGGGACTTATTCCAATCGCGTATTCGAGGGCATTATTTCACTTTAATAAAAAAAATGCACCCAGGTCTCAGTCCGGTCTTATCGCAGGCAGCAGGATAATTTAATTTGTCTGTGTAATATATTACCGGTAGCGCAACGGCGGCGAGATGGCAGTGCCGACGCCGACGCCTCCGCGGCGCTCATATCCTGCTTTTCTCGGTAGCTCTATTCTATCCGATCCCAAATCTCTAGACGGCTGATGTATGGCTCCCCATCGACCCAGGTGCCGCTTTCTGTTTTCCGATAAGAGCGCAACACCTGAACTGTTTTCTGAATAGAGCTTTCCGGTGATAGGGCGATCGATACGTTTGCATTGCCTGCAAAATTCGAACACCGATCTAGAAGATCGCAGATCCAGAGCTACCACGGTTTATGGCTTCATTAGAGCCGGAAAAAGTCGAGCAATAAGTCCGCAGTCGATTAAACGGTTGGGAAATATTAATGGCCCGTTACTACTTACTAGTGCAAACAATAACAATCCGTTCTGCTTAGAGAAGATTGATCCGAGCAGCTTAGAGCAATGCAATGCGGGACAGAGTCCGAGAAAAAAGAAGGCGGTGTCCGTTTGGCCGGAGCGCACTATTTCATTTTAATGGTCCCCGCGGTCCCGGATTCCATTAAACTGTTTCTCCTGCAAAGTTTATTCTGGCCGCTGGGACCATTAGTTTGATGCAGCAGGAAACAATCCTGCCAAAGAACTGGAATTGATAGATGGACCGGCCGGTTGTCCGACTGCTTGCTTGTGCTAACTTCGCAAGTAATATTTTAACTCGGTTAAGATCTGGCTACGTGCGATTTAAACAAATCTCTATCCACGTTTTTATCAATTTGATTTACATTTGGTACATCCAGGTCAAACATGATCAGTTTCAACAGGGATATCGATCTTATTTACATAATTATTATGATATTCGTTCCATTTTGGGTTCGGCTGCAAAAGCGCCGTAACTAAACATGAAAACATTGCACAATTTAAGCAAATTTTATATTTGGGCTAAAACCTTCTCGATTAGATTTTCAAGCAAAACTACTGCAGCAACTAAGCATTCAGGTCGATATTTGGTAACAACATCTCAGTCAATCTTAGACGTGTTTGATGTCAACGTTATTTTTATTCTTAACTTGCAAGTTCTCGTCGAAACTGAAAATGAGAAAACTGCCCAATCGTGCCAATGGACACTGGGGATAGTGTCGATCAAATATCGATAATTTTTTCAAAATTATTAAGAAAAAGCATAATCTTCTTATCGCAGTAGTTCGACAAGTCAAACCATTTGTGGACTTACATATTTATGGACTCTTGATCTTAAAAAGATCTGAGGACTCGCGTTGCAAAATTTCCAACTTTTATTAAAAACTCTTGAGAAACAGTACGTCTACTAATCTTATAGCCATATAGACAACTTTCGGATTTTTATTTTTAAGAGAAAAAGCGATTTTTATAGACGCTTTTGCATGGTCTAACACCAGAATTGAAAAACAAAGAATTTGTTCATTATTCCTTTCCATTGTCCATATATTTTTCATGAGCTTATATTAACTTCAAAAGTTTAAACATTACCAGACTTTTAGCAACAAATCATTTTTGTATTTTTTTTAACAAAAACATATTTAAATCTGATACATTTTTAACTGATTTTAGCAGATTGAAGTAATCAGTATTTAATCGCAATTTGATGATAAAACTGTATTCCATTATTTACTTACAAAATCAATCACATTAGTTTTTCTTTTCAAACATACAGTTCTATTTCTGAAACCGATTCTCTATTTATTTTTCTCAATTTTTGGCCACAAATT